TATATATGTATATATGTACATATATATGTGTGTATATATGTACATATATATATATGTATATATGTACATATATATATCACACATATATATATAAAAGAATAGTACATACATTCTAAATACGCAATATGCATGTAAAGTACAAATGCCACGAAACATACAAACATGTGTACATAAAAATACATACACCTATATTTTATATATTTAATATATATTTTTGGTTTTATATATATATATAAATATATTTATATAAATATATTAAAATTATATTATATTATAATATATGTAAAGAGTAGTACATATATTTTTAATATGGAACATGTAAAATAAGAATGGACTAATATACGTATTATAACCTTGATTTATTAGGTTAGGTTGGTACACGTTGGTAAATCCATAAATTGTATTTTTCCGCGATTGTTGCAAGAGCTTTGGTTTAATAAGAAAAACTGTTCGTTACAGGATTTCGTTAGAATTTTTTGTTACATCGTTTTTTATCTGCTTCATCATTGCTGAATTATATTATCGATTCATATGCATAGACCTCTGTACCAAAGACAAATAAAAAAAATAAAAATTTTACCCCGATCTCCCCTATTCATAATATTCATAATATTCATAGGAATGGAAAGCTTATATATCATTTTGCTGGAACCAAATGAATTAATTCCCTCTCATATAAGATACTATCTCTAAATGTTCATAATTTTCAGATTGATCATGTTTCATGTAATTTCAATACGTACAAGATTTTAATTTTCAATTTTCAAGATTAAATGTATGATTCTCAGATTAATTAATAATTACAAATAATTGTAACATAATTAACAGTTATGAATTATAGTATAATTATAGTATAATATATTATTATGTTAGTGTAATATAGAATTATAGTATAATTATAGTATTATAGTATAATTATTTAAAACATAATTTATTGATGTTAAAATTATTATGTATAATACAATTTTTATTATAATCATTTCATTGTTACGTATTGTAGGGATAAATTGATGAAATCCATGCGTAAAATCTATGTTACGTGAGAGATTGTGCTTCTTTTTTCGAGATTTTTATGAGAAGAAACCTCAAGAGTGCTGCCTTATGTAGGAAACCTCTCTTACCACCCATTTTCTCCTTCCGTAACCAACCCTACGTTCTATCATTTCATAAGAAGCTTTTTTTCATTCCTAGAGACAATTATATTATATAATGTCAAATTGATGAAATGTAAAATTATTTAAACATTAATTATATATTCTAAAAAAAAGAGGAATAGATATAAAATAGATAATAAAAAAAAGAGTATATGTAACTATATTAATAAAAAAAAATTCATGATTTGTTGAAATCCAATATAATTTAAATAATCAAGCGTAATCATTAGACTGCAGTTTTTTATGCAAACTTATAATCTTTATGATTAAGAAAATAGAAGCTTAGAAGATAAATATTACTAAATAGTAAATAATATTATTTTATGTTAGTAAATATTATAGAAAGCATTGTATTTTGGTTATTTTATATATTTCTACATAGTTACATGTAATGTGTACACTGTTTAATTTTGCACTTTCAAATTTTCCATATAAATGCATAAAAATCCATGATTTAGTAATCACATACAATTATTTTTTTCCAAGATATAAAAATAATTTTATTACTTGATATTTTATTAACTTATTATTTTATTAACTTATTATTTACAAGAATAATTTACATTTAGAAGATTTCAATGATTTTAAATATTTAGAGTTTGACCAAGAAATTTATGCTGGATGTGTATCAAAGATACTGAGCAAATTAAATTCATTAATTAAATTTACTTAATTATTCAATTTATAAATAAATTACAGATTTTTATGCTTTATGTGAAATTGGAGGTTGTAAAAATATAATACAATGCATATAATAATATATACAATATCTGTCTAAAACATCTACCCAAACGTATAAATAAATATATAAAATATAAATATATAATATAAATGAATAAAATGCATTTATCATGATAAAAAAAATAGATAATAAAACAAATTTTTATTTAAGTTTTATTTCGTTAGTTATGTTCATAAGAATTTAAAAGTGCATAAAAATTTGCAATCTATTTAACAGAAAAGTTAACTTAGCAATCAAAGAGAGGGAAAATAATTTAGAAAATTATGTACAAAGTTGTAATGTGAAGTGGTAACATCAGATACATGTTTGCAGGTGCCCTTGGAAGATCTGCAGCAAGCGTCTCAGTTGTTGGTTCAGGCACTGGCAATACGTGAAAAATACATGAACAATTCTAAACAGAGCTTTCCTTCCATCACATCACGATTTCTACGTAGCATCGATAAAAGGCCAATAAGCAGTGACGACGAAGTTCAACACGATGATCGTAAAGCCATCGCAGGTATTTGTTACATGTTTCAAAATTTTAGTATGATTGACTTTTTCTTTAGCAATCCTTTTTTGTACGTGAAAACACGTGAACACTTTAACATTCTCGACATTTGTAAATCTTTCATGACATAAAGTTAGTTCACAATGTGTTGTTTCTTAAGGTAAGAAGCTGCAGTCAGAAGTTGAAAGTGAAATTACGAGCGTTCCATCCGACGCAGACATCGATGCACTGATCAAAAACGTATCCTTGACAGGTCCTTTTCCTCCTATCCTTCGTCTTATACTTTGCATCAGAACTCCTTCAATTCTGCTGCGGTACTCGAATTTTTTATGTCGCAATTTCGCTCACAAACAACTTCAATTGAGAAAGAGACGCTTTAGCGTCATAGTTTCCTTGAAAAAAATTTTTTAACGATGAAGTAGATACGAAAATGACAGAAAGAATAAGCAGCAGAATTATATCATCGTTCATAATAAGTATAATTGTACTGTTGGATATAAGAAGATCACTAGTTACAAATACTATTTATTTCTTATATATAATAAAGTTGTAAGATTACCTATAATAATAAGATATAATAATAATAATGATAAGTAAGATTGTCTATTTGATATTTCTTCTTTATGATTTCATTGACATAATCGGACTTTTAAATTTTCATTATAGTCTTCTTTTATTGCATATCATAATGGTTATATACAGGAAGCAGTATTGTTTTTTAATATTATTTTGTTTTATTTATTTAATATTTACATATTATTTAAAGAAAATATATAATAACAATATAGTAAAAGACTAGTCTTCTTTGTTGACTCATCTATCATTATACTGCCCATACCATTATGCCATTCTTTCAGTTTACTATCTTGCAATCACAAAAACTAAGAAATCTTATGGTTAATCAAAAAATAGTTGAATATTTTATACATATAAATTATTCTAAATTAAGATTGATTAACGTTTGACTTAAATATATACATATATATGTATCTTTATATATATCTTAAAAAAATAAGTTTTAAACTTTGTTGTAATTCTGACAGGATACAACAATGAAATTAATATAGATATATAGATACATTATTATAAGCATTATTATAGATGTAAATATTATATTATACAGTTCAGTAAATATTATATTATAGTTACAACAACTTTATTACATATAGAACAGTTTATTATATGATTATTATAATATAATTATTACAACATTATGATTAAATTGTTTGTTGCACAAATTATTTTTAATGAAACATGATTTATATTGATTGATTTCTGAACTCTTTATGTGTATATTATAGGTATATATAAAAAAGAACGTAGAATTTAATTTCATTTAGGAAGAGGTTGAGCATTCTAACAGTACAATTGCTACTCTTTCCATATAAATGTAGTTTCTATAAAAACATTGACTTTACCGATAGAAAAGATGAGAAACTATTACTTTGCAATTATATTAACTTGAGAAGAATGACGTTTTAATACTTGTCATCCCTGAATAATGTTACTATTAGATCATCCTGTGCACGCACCTGCATCTCGAGGAGATCCATGGGAATGTGAATTCCCACCGTCAAAGAATTACATAATTGCCCCCGTTAATGGTGTCTTCAATGTGTACGCTAACGAAGAAGATTTAGATAATGGGAAGCCAATCCCTTATTCGTATCCTGACTTAGCCACTTTTGTCAGGGACATGAACCTCCTTTGTACGATGATCGCCGATGGTCCATTAAAATCTTTTTGCTACAGAAGACTGAGTTACCTTTCGTCAAAATTTCAACTGCATGTGTTACTGAACGAGCTTAGAGAACTTGCCAGTCAAAAAGCAGTTCCTCATAGGGACTTTTATAACATTAGAAAGGTCAGTATGAAAGTGAATAGAGTTACTTGTGTATTATACATCTAGGAAACAAATTACAGTAGGACTCCGTATAACACGATTAAAGAATCATTGAAAAAGATTCACTTGTGACATGAAAGCATGTGCATTCTTGAATCAGAAATCATAGTTTTGCACTAACTCTTGTGTAATAAGGAGGGCTTGTTTAAAGTACGTTATTGTGAAATAGTTATTTCTGTGCAGAATTAGTTGTGTTATTTCAGAAAGGAGTTTATTTCAATTACAAAGTGGATATTAAACAATTATTAAGTAAGGCCATCTTTTTTTACTACATTTCAGAAATAAGAAATAATATTTCTCAGCCATGACTCCAAAGATCTCCACAAAAAATAAGCTGATTGTGAATAGGGAATAATCTTGTGTTGTAGGGAATCCTATTGTATATTAAAAGTTTATATCATGAACATTTCTTAAACGCTATTAAAAAAGATATAATATGCTCTTAGTAAAATGACATCGTGTGACTTCAGGTTGACACCCACATTCATGCGGCATCTTGCATGAATCAGAAGCATTTACTCAGATTTATTAAGAAAACGCTGAAAAATCATGCGGATGAAATTGTTACGTGTTCGAAAAACGGAGAAACAATGACTCTTCGAGAAGTATTCCAATCAATGAATCTGACGACCTATGACCTTAGTGTTGATATGTTGGACGTACATGCAGTAAGTTTACATTGATACTTCACGCAGAACAGTGTTACTTAAGATTTTGATTACCATAGATCTTTAATTTTTTATTATCGCCTAAAGAATCCTTGCATCCAAATGCGTCCTCGCAAATAATACATTTAAAAACTGACAAATTAAATGATATATTACTTCATTCGATTGGATGTTATTTGAAATGACTATTAGTTGAAATAGTTTATTATTTCGAATTATTATATATTATAACAACCATTAATATCTGTATACATAATACATAATATATATTTTTTAATTTTATTCTAAATACTGATATAGAATAATTATTAACATAATATATACTATTTTTTTTAAGCATTACTGACAATGTAATGAAGAAAATATTTTAGATAAAAATTCTGACTTTTATAATTTCCTAGTGATCTTGTGATTTTCTAGTGATTTTAATCATCTTTTGATTACATTATTGGAAATACTTGAATGAACAGTGTACATTATTTAAGTTGTAGAATTCAAAATCTTTTTTTCTTTCTCTTCCAGGATAGAAATACATTTCATAGGTTTGATAAGTTCAATGCCAAGTACAATCCAATCGGTGAAAGTCGTTTGCGTGAAGTATTCCTAAAAACGGACAATTATCTAAACGGTAAATTTTTCGCGAGCATAATTAAGGAAGTTGCCAGCGATCTTGAAGAATCGAAATACCAAAATGCGGAATTACGTCTTTCGATTTACGGCAAGAGCCCAGAGGAATGGGACAAATTAGCAAAGTGGGCAATTCAAAGTGATGTATATTCGGACAATGTGCGCTGGCTTATTCAAATTCCTCGACTTTAGTAAGTTATTTTAATATGCATCATTTGTTGCGATTGATATCTGGGAGAAGAAAATCATTCCAATAGCTATTGTTTTTCTATTCAGTGACATTTTCAAATTGAACAAGTTGATGACAAACTTCCAAGAGATATTGAACAACATCTTTCTTCCTCTTTTCGAGGTAACAAACGACGCTAATTCTCATCCGGAGTTACATAAATTCCTTCAATATGTAAGTAAATTTATGAATGTGCGTTGATAACTTTTAGAATTGATTACTTCATTGTCATCTATATTGTTATCGTTACAGGTAATAGGATTTGACTCAGTTGATGACGAAAGCAAGCCGGAAAATCCTTTATTTGACAAAGATGTTTATCCACCTGCAGAATGGGATGATGTTGAAAATCCTCCTTATGGATATTATCAATACTACACTTATGCCAACATGACTGTTTTAAATCATTTTAGAGCGTAAGTACATGTTTCTTACAGTTAGTAAATAATATTAATTATCTATTGAAATAAATATTTAACGTACAACATATTGTGTTTTAGAGAGAAAGGTTTAAATACCTTTGTTCTTAGACCTCATTGCGGCGAAGCCGGCCCCATTCAACATCTTGTGTGTGGTTATATGATGGCAGAAAATATTTCTCATGGCCTTTTACTTCGAAAAGTGCCAGTACTACAATATTTGTATTATTTGGCACAAATTGGCATCGCAATGTCGCCTCTTAGTAATAACTCTTTATTTTTGAATTATCATCGTAACCCATTACCCGAATATTTAGCAAGAGGATTATGTGTAAGCCTGTCCACAGACGATCCCCTTCAATTTCACTTTACCAAGGTCAGTATGATACTTAATTTTTATAAATGTTTCTCAATTTATAATTTTATTACATAATTGTTTACAAAGCGAGCGATCCTATCGATTGTTATCTTGAAATATGTTGCCAAGACCGACATTTTAAACAATTTTACATATTATCGCTACTCTATCTTCATTTTAAGATATTCATGAAAACTTTGAGTTAAATTTTGATTACTAGCACACTTCGTTCTGACATACAGCAATCGTTTTCACATTCCTATGTAGCACAATTTAAGCAATAGAAAAAAAATTAATGGGTCATAGATTATTTCAAAATAGGATCTAAATATTTTCTACAGAAGCAAATAGTTATATTTTCTTATAGGAACCTTTGATGGAAGAATATAGTATTGCTGCACAAGTATGGAAGCTCAGTTCATGTGACATGTGTGAACTAGCGCGTAATTCAGTACTTATGAGTGGCTTTCCACACAAGGTATGTATTCTACGAATATTTACAAAACGTATTCAAATGATCATAAATTCTTTATTAATATTTATAGAGTAAACAATACTGGCTTGGGCCAAATTATACTAAAGAGGGTGTGGCTGGTAATGATATTACTCGAACAAATGTGCCGGATATTCGGGTGGCCTACCGATACGAAACATTAGTCGATGAATTGTCAAATATTTTCAAGGTTGTCGAGAAACCCGAAGCCGTTCCATTTTAATCTATAGCGGTAGTACAAAAACTCCTTGACTATAACGTAATAATTATTCTACAATTGCAAATAGTATCTATAAAATTCGACGAAATTGCGACGAAAACTATTTATAAAAAAATGAATGTTCTTGTAACGTGAACAACTATG